ACCCACCTGTGGCCTTACTCCCAAGTCGACCCCTGTTCTTTAGCTCTTCCCTTCATCCCAGCTGTTCTTCTGCCTCATTGATGTCTGACTCTGAAGGCAGCTGATAACTTTCACTAATGAATTGAACTAAGTGTCTCCTGCAAACTCCACTCCCCTTTCGTTCCTCTTTTATTGCCTCTGGGAGGGGCCATTCATCACCCACCTGTGGCCTTACTCCCAAGTCGACCCCTGTTCTTTAGCTCTTCCCTTCATCCCAGCTGTTCTTCTGCCTCATTGATGTCTGACTCTGAAGGCAGGTGATAACTGGCAGACGGCCCTGGCCCCCTCTCTGCCTCCGACACAGAACCCTCACCAGAGCCTTCCCCAGACTCCAGGACTGGCCCATCTTCCTCCCCAACCTCCTCACTGTCCGAGTCTGCTGCCAGCTCTGCTGGCGGGCCACAACAAGAGAAATTGCCCCCCCCCTTTCAATGCAATACAGCAGAAATAAGGACAGCTTTAGTGCTTCCTTAAAATATTTCTACATGTAGAAAACTGCAAACCTTTTGTGGCTTGGAGTTTCAACAGTATCAAATCTTTTGGCTTCTGTAAGGAACATGACAGGCCTGTCTTGAATGATGATGATGATTATCGCCCACCCCCTTTTCCCCTGCTTTAAAATATTTTCCCTTTTGTTTTGCAGAAAGCAGCGAAAGTTCAGAATTCAGCGAAGAGCCGTCATCGGGACTGGAGAGGTGAGCTTCTCTTTAACGGTGAATGGGTGATGGGACCTGGTTGCATTTTTACCGACGTCTCGGATAATCTGAATTTACCCGAATTCAGATCGTGGGGGTTAGGCAAAGAAATGGGAAGAAAATGCTCTCCCTTCTGAGCATTTTCTTTGTCTGGGGTTGTGAACGTATGGTGAATCTTGCAAAGGTTTCTTGTGTGCCCTCTGCTAGATTCCCCAGTGGCGTCAAGCTTTAGAATATATTAGCCAATAATCCAGCGTTGCCTGGGTATTTATTTATAGGGGAGAAAATGTCTGAACCAAACTTAATTTCTAATGTTGGATTTTTTCCCCGTTACCAGAGGGAGCCCCCTTGTGGAGTACTGTGAAGCCATTACTGTGGCAGCTCCACTGTGCAGTACAGTAGAAGCCATTAAAAGGCACAACAGGCTGCATCTTAACAGAACACACCGACACCCCGAGGGGAGTTAGGGGTGTCTTACCCCCACAGTATTTGTCTCCAGAGAATAAGTCATCTTCGTACCAAGTTTGGTTGAAATTGCTCGAGGCGTTCCAGAGTTACGCTGGAACAAACACACACACAGCCATTTTTATATAGATAAATATTTCCACGCTTGCTTTAACCAGAGCGCACAATTTCTCATTTGCTCGTAATATTTGATCATTGTCGATTCGGGAACCCACAATCTTACTCGTGTTTCCTTCTCCACCTGTATCTGGGCTCCAGATGAGCCCCCTTTGAGTGGATCTAGATTTGTTTCTTATACCAGAGTCTCTTTTTTCTGCTTTCTTAAAATCTTTGACTTCTTAGGAAGGAGTGACAGGCCCGCGTTTGATTTTGTTTTTAAAAAAAATTAAAATATCGAAGTTGTGCCCAAGTACCTTTTGAAATCTGAAGACAGGAACGCCAGTTTCCTAGAGATTTGCAACCAACGTACTGGATTTTCACTTCAGAGGAGAATGAATGGAAATTGAGATATCTGCCTAGATTGTTTTATTCGGCAAAGAATCAGAGACCAACATTTGGGATGCTAAGTTTGACTGGCCTGCCTGAGATTGGAGGAGAGCTTTTTATATATTTACATTGTAGTTACAAATTTAGGTTCTTTCGGTTTTCGATTCGGGATTATTGAATTATATTTCCATAAGAAGTACATGGGGGAATAACATATCTTGCCACGTACATCCCTTAGTGCATTCAAATGTTCAAATCTCAAATCCCATCGTGCATTCGATATTCAGGCCTCGTGGTAAAGTGTTGCCCAAGCAGCTACTATTTTGAACTCAACGACTCTCAGCTGAAGAGGGAATTTGGTCAAAACACATGGCTTGGTTAGCGTGTATTCTCCGAATCCAAGGGTGGGCGGAGAAGAATAATATTAAGGAAGGGTATCCTTGGTGGATCAGAATCTTGAATTTCTTTGAAGGGAGGAACCTGGTTTGTCTACGATCGAGGCCGTGGTTGAATCCGGGTTGATTCAGCTATAATAAAGCCACGCGTTGCTCTCAATGGGAGGTTCGTTCTTTGCTCAGAATTGTTCTTCTGATGTTTTGGGTGTCTTTATTTAGAATATAGAATAACAGAGTGGGAAGGGACCTTGGAGGTCTTCTAGTCCAACCCCCTGC